CATACTACTATTTCTCCAATCATCAGACATCCTCTTTTCTTTTACTATCTTATTAAATATCTTAGTTAGCCATAACAAACCTACCTCTCCCATACCTTTCCACACTTACATTGGAATCCCATCAGGCCCTAATGTCTCTCCCTTCTACATCTTATTCAGTATATCTTGTACTTCAGTAGGTCTAACTCTACAAAAGTACAAATTATTTTTAAAACTATTAGTACTTCTAGCTTCTCCTCCATTAGCACCCTATTCCTATTGTTCATTAAATAATTTGTCAAAATAGTTTTTCTATCTTTGTTTGATTTCCTCATCTTTTACCAAGAATCTTTGATCTTCATCTTTAATGCACGTAACATGGTTCAAATCTTTGTCTTTCCTTTCTCTCAACTTTACTAGGCTTTTTTTTAAATAAAAATAAATTCATTAAAAACAAAAAAGAGAGTACAATAGGAAGGTGATGAGAAATCACCCAAGAAAAGAAAGAAACTAACTAACAAAAGCCAACTCACACAACCAAAAAAAATAACCAATCAAAAAACACTCCTATAGACAAAAGCAAAAAAACAAAAGCCTCCCTAACTCAAAAACACATCAGTCTTCCCTTCAAATGCTTCATCCAACCCATCTCCTTCCTCGTTCCATGCCTCTCCTCCTTCCCCAAAATAACACTTCTTCATCCCTTCTTCTTTGATGTTCCTCTCAAACACTTCAAATGCTTTCCTTGCGAACTCCTCTCCACCCCAAAAGAACAAATTTAGACACTTACCAACCCTAACATTCGTACTAGACAAACTCACAAAATCCACTTTTCCTCCCTCCTCCTTAGCATAATAGCACCTAAAGGAGATTCAACAAAACTCATTCCCGCAATGCACCCTCCTTCCTTTTCTATTTCCTCCAACCTCGTATGTAACTCAACAACCTTCTCTGAAACTTCAGATGCCTATGTCTCCATACCTTCAAAAACTTGAGATTCATGACCACTGCCAATCTAACCCTCAAAAACCTTTGCTTTACATTTTGCTCCTTTTCTCTTATAAATTCTTTTGTATTGATTTTAGGCCCAGCTCCAGCCAAACCATCTTTCAATGTCGAGAAAATTTTGGTGACATGAACGAGATGGAGCTTGCTTGTACCTCGATCCTTCTTCAAAACCTCCACACCATCGGCAGGCGGCAACTCCTTCCTTGATTACAGGTTTCCTTCTCCTTCCCAGGTTAAAAGCTATCTCTCCGACAATCACTTCAAACCAAACAAAATCCTCACTATCCTCTAAGTTGCACCTAGTACCTGTATTTGCTTCCTCCTAAAGATGGCAACACTCTTCCGGCTTTCTACCATCATCCCCTTCACTCCTTCTCAACATTTCCTTCCCCTTAAATAGCTTCCTCCTCCTAAACTACCCTCTTTTTCCTATTTCCTTTCCCCAACGTTTTCAGTTAAATGCTCAGCCTTTAGATCAATCTTCTCCACAACCACCTCAAAGAAACCATTGCTCTGCTTACGTGCACCTAGACCAACAAGGGACTCAAAGGAAACAAGACTTTGCCCTTGAGCATCACCTATGCAAGGAGTCACAATCTTCAAACACAACCTCTTCCTTTTGGACCTGTCGTGTTTTGCAACCAACCAAACCCATTCTTCTTCCTCACTTCTTTTGAGATGAAAAGAAACAAATCCTTCTCTTGACCTGACTTTAAAACCTCTGTTATATCTAACCTTCAACCTATTCAACCGGCCACCCCTAATCCCAGGCTCCACCACTAATTTTGAATGGATCCCTACATGCATCTTCACACTCGAGAAACCAAAAAAAACCCTTTAGTGACCCTTCCACTCTCAGCACCTAACCAACCCCTTCTTTCCTCAAAACTCCTTGCCTCCCCTCCATTGGTCTTTGGGGAAAAATCATCTCCAGCATTCCTCAAGACTTCCAACTGTAAAATTACCTCCCTATCCTTGCCACTTAGCCTTCTTTCTTCTTCCTCTTAACAACCACTCACCTTCCTAACTCTGTCAAACCTTTGTTTAATAGCAAAATTTTCAAATTTTGAACACCCCTCAAATAGAGAAAAAGTTGGATCCACTCCAGTGTTTTAACCTCCAGGCAAGGCGCTCCCAAAACGCCCTGAGGTGTTATGCCAGAGGCACTGACACCTCTGAGGCGTACGCTTTTCATGAGGCATGCTAGAGGCGTACACCTCATGCACATCTTATATAAAAAGACATGAAAAAAAAATAGAAAAAAAGGAAAGGAAAAGAAAGGGAAGGAAAGAAAAGAAAAGGAAAGGGAAGGGAAGATTTTTACTCTTCTTAATGTTATGCATCTAATCAACTCGTGTTATGCATCTTTATTCTTATTAAAATAAAAGATTTTTATTTGCATTACAGATGGGTGAAGAGGACTGCTAATTCATTTGCTGATGGGTTAGCCAAGCAAGGGGTGAATAGGGAATCTATTTTTTGGGCTAACTTTTGACTTTCTTCCATTGTATTCTGTTGGTGGGGAGTTAAGACATTTTATCTCCCCCTTTTGTACCTTAAGTTTCACATAGTTTCATATCATTAATAAAGTTTATTGTTACTGATAAAAAAAGGATTTTTATTCTTTTATTAATAATATAAAAGATTTTTATTAAAAATAAAGAAAAATTGAGATCCCCCCCTATTCTTCATCCTCCTCCTAACCCCGCTCCTCTTAAGGAGGCCTACGCCTCCTTGTGTTCGGGAGGCTTACGCCTCTTGTGTTCTGAACTACGCCTCACGCCTCTAGGTAGTGGAATGCTTCGCGTCACGTCTCCACATTTTAAAACATTGATCCACTCCTTCAACTACAATTCTTAATTCATACTTTTCTCCAATGAATAAAAGTTCGATAAACTTCAAAATCGATTGAATATATTCTACTTTGATCAGGATTCTTGCAAATTGCAACTAAAACCATCTATTCCTAAAGTCATATCATTTGAACCTTCTATAAGCATCCCCAACAACACGAAAAGTTTGAACGCACCAAGCATGTAACGGAATGCAGAAAACATCAATCCAAAAAACTTTTTCTTCAGCTCTCCTCTAATTAAACCAACCGTTGGGATGTCTTCCTTCATCTTGAACATAAACAGGAATAACCATGCATTAAGCTTTCTCACGTCAATGAAACTGAAGCTTCATCATTCAGTCTTTTCCCACCTAAACACATCATCTTCATCTGGAAAAGAGTTGATAAATCTACCAACCAAACATGTTTCCAAAATCTTTTTTCCAAACTAGCAAGAAGAATGCTAAAATTTTCTGAAGAAAGACCTACACGTTCTTTTTTCTCCCTCTTTAGTGCCTAATTTATGGTAAAGCTCATCATAAGCCTAATTTAGCTTCATTCACTTTCTTTTTAACTTCCTTTCTTATAATTTTATATCTTTCCCAATTTTCTTCATGTTTAGCTTGTTTCCATTCTTTGTAACATGCTCGATTTAATCTGATTATATTTTTTATAATCATAATCTGATTATATTTTTTATAATCATAATCTGATTATATTTTTTATAATCATGATCTGATTATATTTTGAACCTCTTTTGCTACTTTCTTTAAATTCTCCTAAGACCTCCTTTGCTACTTTCTTTATGTTATTTGCCATTTCAAAACAGATATTATTAATCTTTCCATCTAAATTGCAATTCCCTTCTATTATCAATTTGTTTCTAAATTGAACTAGCTTTTCTCCTTTTAGGTTTTCCCACCTATTTTCTTCCCTGTTTCTCTTCCATTTCCTAATGTGCCCATTTTTTTTTTATAAGAAGTTACAAAAAGAGGGTGATAAGACAGCAACCGAGAACAAAGAAAACCAAACAAAACAAAAGAGCCACCTGTCAAAATAGATAACAGGCTCTGCATTCCATATTTGATATCCCAGGACCTCTCCTAACCTACTCCCAAAGTCCTTTTTTAATTGACTGAATTCATGGAGAATCAGCACCCATTCTACCACTGATCTGCCCACAGCCGCAACCATCTTCTCCATGCTGCAAGCCTTGTCTTCGAAATCCCTCCTGTTTCTTTCCTTCTACCACCAGTGTTAAGATCTGTATATACTGGCCACATGCTAGAACAAGACACTAGAACCACACATTGGGAGCATCTCCCATGAATGGCAACATACAAGTATGAGAGTTGTTCCTAATGTGCGGCTGTAGTGTCTTGTGGCCAGCATATTGAGGTCAGCAGATCCAAACTCTGAAATGAACATCTACATTTTAAAAAAAAGTGACTCCATAYCCTTCAAAGGTGTCACCATGATTGGGATTAATTCACATCTTTGAGAATCATATCAAACAATGAACCTTCCACAATGACGGGTTCAGCACTGAAAGAGTGGGAAGCAACAATGAGCCTTCCACAATGTTGAAGAATGGTTGCAAGAAGTCCAGGTTATTGCTTGAGAATTTGAAGCTGCACCTCGTGGCTTTCCACCAGAAAGTTGATCTTCTAGTTTACCTCATTCCAATAGCTCCTTTGTCACCTCCCACAACCAAATGGTCATCTACTCTGATACCATCTGATACGTGCTTTCTTATGCTAATAAAACATAATAAGAAACTAAGAGAAAGGGGTGTTTGGCCTCCTAAAATAGTATCTTTCATAATTCATAACTCCACTCCAAGAAACCGAAACAACTAGCATTTAAGCATCTGGTACGTGCTTTCTTAAGCTAAAAGCGAAAAAAAAATGAAAGTTCAGAAAAAAAGAGAGGGGAAGAGGGAGGAGGAAAGACCACTTCGAGGGGAAGAAAATCCACTATCAGACCATAATTCCACATAACAGAGCATTAACCTAGTAACCCACCAACCACAAACTACCAATTCGTTAATCCACTAGCCAGATTAACATGAAAACAAGCAGGAAACCGTCACCTCTTACTCACACGCCCCCACCACATCACCAATAAATAAAAGAGCATAAACAGAAGAAGAAAAGGAAAAATGAGAAAAATAACATACACTGGTACCGGGAGCAGGTGTTCGAATCTGACGCTCGAAAATCCTCGAAACGATGTTGCTGCTCCTGAACATCAGTACGGGCGCGAAACCCCAATAGCTCTTCCACTTCGTGTCCGGATGGATTTGGAAACGAAATAACCTTCTTGGCTAAAATGCGCATGCCTCTTCGACATAAACAGAAGTAGCTGTCGGATCGTGTACCACACCATCAAAATGAAACAACCAAAAAATAAAATAAAAGCTACAATTAGTTTTTCTAAGAGCAAAGCTAAAGAGGAACTCAGGAAAGAGGCACGCTAACTCCGAAGCACACCACTACACCGCAGCAGATACCGTTCTATCACTCTAATGCGATCTTTTCAATCTCCGTGACCCTCCTCCTTTCTGGTTTCTTTTATTTTAGGTTGGAACGTTACCCCTGTATCCACCTTTAATTCTCGCCGAAATTAACAGGCACCTCTCTTCCGAGTTAAATAGCAACAGGCGTGGAAAACGGATTTCACCCAACCCTGCGTACGACCATGAAGACGGGAGAATTAACTCGCTTCGTCTCCGTCACTCCTTGGTTTTTTACAAGAGAAATAAATAGCTTAACCCCACAAATCAGAGTTCGTCTGTAGATTGTTGTAGCGGGAAATCGGATTTAGTCACTTTCCAGCCATGCATTCAGAATATTTCAAAAATTCCACTTTAGTACCCTGAATTTTGGGACAGTGTCAAGTTACTACCTGAGCTTTCAAATGTATCCCTACAGTATTCAAACTTTTAAAAAGTGTCAATTTCGTATAAAACCGTCAATGGACGTTAAGTATCATATATAAGGGAAAAATATGCCCTTCACCTATCATATAATTTTCATATGATTAGTATCCGATCTCTAACCAATAACCACCTCGATATCAATACAAACGGCACTAAAATGTCTCTTATTGCGACGAGAAGAGGTGCCGACAAGAGTAGAAATGATGCTACCACCGTCAACATGAAGAAAATCGTCTGAATGCCTCTTTGAATTCTCTCCAGATTCCCTTTTCCTGCAATCATGCTCGGAATCATCATCCAACACCTCCGGATGAATTCTCTCCAGATTACCTTTTTCCTACGAGCCATGCTCCATGCATTCTGCCTTGGATGTAAATAGTGATTTGACTAAACAAATGGTGGGCTCAATAACACTTGATTCAAACGTGATGAAATCTTCGGTTCAAAGTGATTGCAAAAAAAATACTATAGCCAATGCAATTCSAAGGATTTGTTTTAGAAAGATCAAAAAACGTAGATGTAGAAGATGAGATTGCACATGCACACATCTTACATAAATCAGGTCTGATAGGATCAAAATCAGGTCTAAGTTTGAATTTCCTGTTGTGAGTATGGTGACGAGGCTAGGTAGACCCAGCCTTAGTTAAGCACTCATTATACATTGATCCCAAACACAAGCCAATCAAGCAACCCAACAAGACTTTAAGCCAGAGGTAGCAGTGAAAATTAAAGAAGAAACAAAGAAACTCCTGAAACTGGGCTTCATCAAACCCATCGCACATCCCAAATGGCTAGCAAATATTGTACTTGCCAAAAAGAAAAACGACCAACTAAGGTGTTGTGTTGACTTCTGAGATCTCAATAAAGTTTGATCGAAAGATGAGTTCCCTCTACTTAATATGGAGATTTTGATAAATGGTACAACAGGAAACGAGCTCTTCTCTTTCCTAGATGCATACAGCGGTTACAATCAAACCTATATGGACCCCATAGGCGTGCCTCAAACGACATTTCGAACTCCATTAGGGATTTTCTATTACGAGATAATGCTCTTTGGGATAAAGAATGTTCGAGCTACCTACTAGAGAGCCATGACATGTATCTTCCACGACATGATGCACAAAGAGATAGAATGTTATGCAGATGACATAGTTGTCAAATCCAAGAAGGAAAGTCACACAAAAGTCCTTAGGAAAGTATTTACGAGATGCAAGTGTAAGTACATGTGGTTCCCTACATCTGTAATTGCGATGAAGGCATCAAACCAGAACGATGGAAGCACCTATGATGACATGGAAGCCACCAAGGGCCTGTGATAAGCCCACATCCCATCCCTACTTTGTGATGAGCTTGAAGCCATCACGGACCTGTAGTGGACTAAAGGACCACTGCACAACTGCAACGAGCCAAAATCACTCATGAGACGACACCTAGCAAACTAAGCAAAATACGTCAAACTAGCTTTGACGTCATCCACACCACGTCGATATAGGAGACCTGTGAGGGGAAGTAGTGCACGTGTATCATGAGAATCCTTGGACGAAAGGAAATTTTGTCCTAGGAAGATCTCATGTGACACTTGGTGAACTCCTAGTAGTGTCCTCCTAACAACTAACATCGAATCGAAGATCCCTTTTCCTAATGGGAATCAAACATCTTTTGGCTCCTTCTCTTTAGGGCATTGAAGCCTCCCCTTGTAAAAAGAGGAATAAAATGTGATTATCACACAATTTTGTCTATTTTGAGACCCTTGTCTACCTTTTAGCCTTACCACCCCACTTATAGCAGGGAATTCAACCTAAGATTGAGCCCATTAAAGTGCATGTTTGGAGTCTGGTTAGGCAAATTCCTTGGTTATAGAGGCGATTAGTTTGGCATTCATCCTGATGACAACAAGGTCAAGGCCATTTTGGATCCCATTACCCAAGAATGAACCGCAACTCAAAACCTTTTTTAGGAAAAGTGTCATACCTTTGGAGATTCACCCTGGGATTGGCAACAATTGCATCTCCCCTCCTCAAACTAACTAAGAAATCTAGAGTTCAAATGGTCAAAGCAACACAAGTAGGCATTCGAGTAGTTAATGCAAGCATTAGCCAAGGCTCCCACTATGTCGCCCTCACAAAGCGGTTGAGAGTTTAAACTCTACATCGCATCTAACTCAGTAGTTGTAGGATGCCTACTAGCCCAAGAGAGCGAGGAAAAACAAAAACGTCTGATTTATTATGCTCAATGTTTAAAGTATTGGGAACGTAAGGTGTATCGAAAAGACAATTTTAAGAGATGTATTGGGATACACTTTGGATACGTATGGATATGGACGAAAAATCAAAATATGCATAAATATGATTAAAAACGCAAATAAATCCTAAAAAATATATTAATAACGATAGTTACAAGTTTTAGATGATTTTGTAAATAAGTTATTTAAAAATAAAAAAATTATAATTTAATGGTCTATATAAAATTCGAGATATTGAGACACAGTTAGTAACTATTGACAAATGATGGAATAACTAAAACGTGAAAAAAAAACAAAAAAAAACTAAAATGTATATTGATATACATTAGTTTTAAAATAATCAATATATTTTATCTTAATATTTATTAATACATAAATTTTAAAAATTAATTCTAACATTTATTAATAAGCATATACTAAGAAAGTAAGAAAATTTACTTAAACACAAAAATGCATAAACTTATAGCAAGCAAGTGGGCATGGCTTAGTGGTGAACCTCTAGTTCTTAAAGCCTAATGGCTAGGGTTCAAATCTTTCTATTGCTAATTTGTAGTTTTATACTAACAAAACGATTTTAATGAGAAAGAGGGTTATTAATTAACGAAATTAATGAGAAGAGAATTCCAATTAGGCGCTTCAGAACCATATCGACCAATATAGACCCGAAACAGTCTAATACAAACCGATACATACGAAAAGGAATGCTAGAGATAATTTCTATGCGTTCCGTGTATCGAACTTGTACCAGAACGATACGTATCGGCCGATATGTTGTGAAATTTTGAACCTTGATTACGCTAGTAGGACACTTAAGTGGGTAGAAAAGAATTATTTCCATATGGAAGAACAATGCCCAGCCCTAGTGTTTGTTGTCCAAAAATTTAGGCATTACATTCTTGGACAGAAAGTGGTACTTGTAGCGAGAAGTGATCCCATCCGATTGTAGCGAGAAGCTCAAACTAAGACATGACCACCACATCCCTGGGGGGTTGCCTAGGCAGTATTGTAGAAACCCTATCCTCGTGCTCTTCCCTGGGGGGTTGTTCTAACAAAACTTCAAAAGCCCCCTGTTTGCACTTTGTTCCAGGAGAATGCTCTGCAACCATAGCTGAAGGCCTCCACCCTTGACCATCCTCGGTCTTGCCCACCAGACTATCGAGTGGCTGCTCTGATACCACAATAGAGGGACTATGCTCCTGCCCACTTTCACTCATCGGACTCCTGGGGGGCTGCCCCAACACCAGAACAAAAGGCCTTTAGTCTTTCTCACCATCACCCACCAAACCACCAGATGGCTGTTGTGACACCATAACAGATGATTGTTGCTACTAATCGCCTTTAGTCTTGCCCACCAACTCACTAGGGGGCTGCTCCGCCACCACCTAAGATGATTCACACCCTTCCTCATGATCATTGGGCATAAAATCACCAATGACACCCTTCCCATCAACACACGTCCCGACACCTCCATCCTCCAGGTTAACAGAACATTGCTCCAGTGACTTATGCCCCTAGATAGGGGGCTATAGGGATTTCAATTCTTCTATTAAATTCCAAATCACAGGCATCTCAGATACATCATCCATGTTTACATCGCAAACCCCCTACGACAAAGCAAGTAAGGTTTGATTAGAACAAGTAAATGCAGCATACTAAAAGACCAAGTAAACAATTCAACCACACATACCACCTCATCCACAATACCCTCAGATGGGACTTGTAGGATCTCAACCTCGGGGTGAACTTCCCTTGCATCCACCTGCTTCAACACAAGTGACTACAATGGAACAATTAGTCCAAATGACAAAAGAAGCGCTAATCAATACACAAATTGAATCAAATACTATGCACACTTACCAAACTAGAAACCTCTGGACCCTTTCTCTGAGGGCGAGGATCCATCTTCTTGACTCGCCCACCAACAATCGGAACTGTGACCACAACAGCAAGAGGAACCGGAAATGCTGACTATACTAATTCCGTATATGCTTTCTCCCTAACCTCAGACGAAGGATTTGGGAGATCCTGAGCATCACCCCCAACAAATTGCTCCTATGCATGGGGCGCGGGAATGTCAGAAACGGGAACTAAAACATCTACTGGCCTTGATACTACTGGCCAGAAAGACCGAGGCACCCTTACCGCCATGTGCCTCT